TCACCAATAACTATTTAACCAATAATACATATCTAAAAATGGAATTTATGTACAGTATATATTTATGTGTCACTTATTATTCAATAAATGGCCAAAATCAAGCAATTACAGTTTTAAAGCATCTAATGACTAAAAATCACATTATTATGATAAAAACAACAGTGAAATACAATATTATAAAATGCTATCATAGAATGGCTTCTGTTGCATAAACATGTTACCGTTCCAATCTTTCATTAAAATGTCAGTGTGTTATGACCTGCACAGCTGTCAGCTGGATCCAGGAATTGTTGACTCTCCAAACAACAATCCAACATCTGTTTACTTAACTATCACTCACACAGTGTTTCAAAATAATCTAATGGAAAATATAATTGTATCAAAATCAAATCAAGTCAATCAACTCAAGTCAATAAAAAATTTAAAGATACTGTTTGAGAAAATGAAAGTGTGATGGTGGTGACTTTTTATATTTAATTGTTAGTACTTTTCATTCCTGTGTTGACGAATGAAGTGAACACATTTTCAAACGATACTCTTGGTGTAGTTACATGCAATGGCTGACATATGCAATGGTTAGAGGGATGAACTGATTGTTGTTGCTTTTAAAATCCATTTCATCTCTGCAACAAAGCCGTTAACAGTTTACCTGTTTACATTATGTTTAAAATGCTACAATCAAAACATAATAATCCAACAGGACTCGCTTATTGAGGCAAAAAGTATGTAATATGTTGTCTCTTGTTTTTTTGTATTTGTAACTCCTTTTTTTACAAGCCTCGTTAGAAGATTTGTTTTAGAAAGCAAAATGCCATGTGTAATCTAATAGTGTAAAAACAAGTGACAGTCGGTATTGTGTCACACATAGCTGGGGTTTAAAGTAAAGGAAACACTTCATTTCTTCCTGTCCATGCATTGTTGAGCAACGCATCTCAAGTTATAGCACTACATATGACAGATATTGTTATGTGGTACTATCTTTCTAAAATGGACACTGACGAAACCCAAAGCCCATTAGATCTTCTTAATGTCTCTTTATAATGCTAAGTTTGGGGTGAGTTTGTGCGATAGGACCCCAAAGATGGTGAACTATGCCTGGGCAGAGTGAAGCCAGAGGCAACTCTGGTGGAAGCTCATAGCAGTCCTGACGTGCAAATCGGTCGTCCGACCTGGGTATAGGGGCGAAAGATTAATCGAATCAGGTTTTTTTTCCCCCACTGCATTCACGTGAATATGGTGTATAGAAAGTGTTGAATCATAATACTTGCGGTGCATATTGGGGTCAAAGGGAATGAAATAGCAGATAAAGCTGCAAAAGAGGCCAAAAAAATTAGCTGCACTAATGTTACAGTCAGCTTCAATAAATCAGAAACAAAAGGTATTATTAAACAGAGGTTGAAGGAAAAGTGTCAGAAGCAATGGGAAGAAGACAGAAAAGGACGATGGTTTTACCGACTTCAAAGTAAAGTGGGAGAAATAAGATGTGCAGGAAGGAACAGGAGAGATGAAAAAGTGATATCAAGACTTAGATTGGGACACAGTGGCCTTAACAGTACGCTTCTAAAAGTAGGAAAACATGAAACAGGCAAATGCGACTATTGTGGGCAAAAGGAAACAATAGAACACGTTATTGTACAATGTCAGAAATATGAGCAAGAAAGACGGCAGCTGATTGGAAAACTCAGCAAGATAGAGGTACGTTTTGATGTAGTAGATATTCTGCAAAAGAACTCAAGAAGTGAGTGTTATCAAGTACTATTTGAGTATCTTAGCCTAACTAATATTATTAAGAAAATATGAGCCTGTTGTTTGTTTTGGAAAAAAAGAGACTAACAGCCTCTTTAACCTCTTTAACCTCAGCGTTTCCTATTTTGGTTGTTGACTTTACTTTGTTTACCCTCCTGTTATGTTGCGGGTCAAACTGACCGGTTTCAAAGTTTAAAAATCTAGAAAAAATATTTGAAAGTACTTTTTCTGTATGAAACTTCTTCTGCTTGCCTTAATTAGTGTAATCAACGTAAAAAAAAAAAAAAAATGGTTCATATCATGTATGTGCAATCCCCCCCCCCCTGCAGGTTTATATTACAGAGATGATGTTCGAGTCAATTTGACCCGGCAGTGAAAGTGGAGGCTATAAGGGGTCAGAAGAGTCAAGTTTAGACCATTTCTTTCTTTGAAAATGTGAGACAAAGTATTTCTTACTCCCTCCCACCATGTTTCACCCCATTTCACACACACACACACACACACACACACACACACACACACACACACACACACACCATATTTTATCCCAATCTCACATGCACACACACACTCTTTCTCACTACCCCACCTGTGTGAAAAATACAGATACTATTTTGACTTTGACGGGAACCTTTTATTTTAAATTCTGCCCACAGGAGAGGGGCGAAACATACAAAATGGTTGCTTGGGAGTCCTACCAACATTACACTCTGCCGATACATACAACACAGCAGCTTACTGTAGAACAACATGAGCAACAGTGACAAAAGGATGACAGCCCTGGAGGCTCTGGAGCACATCCTTGATCACGACAGTGAAGTAGAGGAGGTTGTGTCTGAAGATGAAGACCATCTTGAGGTCAATTCAGATTTATAATGGTACTGATTATGAACCGTCAGATGAGGAAACTAAAATACCTGTTCCTCCAGGCGAGACATTCGTTTCAAAAAATTGTGAAATACAGTGGTCATCCTCACCCAATACACGTCAGCCAAGACTGTCTACCGAAAATATTATAAAGGCAGTGCCAAAATGTATTTGCACAAAGCACACCGTGACGACATGTCACTCGTGTGCTGTGTAGACACAGATACACAGACAAACGCATACAAACACACACACACACACACACACACACACACACACCTTGTTCATTGTGCTCATCTCTTGTTAATTTGTGTAAATGTCTGTTTCTCAACACTATAATTAAACATAAGTAAAGTTTACTTTCAATACAAATCCTTGTGACTCATTTGGCTTGATTTTGAGTGAGCGGGTCAATATGACCCTGAACAGCAGAGGTGTCTCATCTCTATTTATCTACATCACCCCATGAAAAAAAGAAAGTTTCAAAATGTAAAAAAAATTTAGAAAGAAATACATATTATGGTAGACTAATGCAATTTATATCTAGGTTTTTCCACTATACCTAAAAAATAGTTTGAACATGTATTTTTCATGAAAATGAGTGAGTTATCCTAATTGAACTCTGATCTATGGAGGTGTGAATAACTCCATTCCACTAAATACTGATTGAATTGTTAGTAAAGGTGTTGGTGATGAGGTACAAACTATATTTATTAGGATTTTTTGGTTTCTGACAACTTTAGGATGATTAAACATGCACCGGGTCACATTGACCCGGGAACATCATTGCTGTACCTAAGAAACGAACTAACAGGAGGGTTAAAGAAGATAATGAACATTCATTTAATTTAATTTATTTATCTGTTATGGGAAAGGCTGGACCTGTAACATCCACTGTTGATAGTCTTTGTGACATATGAGTTTATCAAAGAAAATTAAATCTACTCAAACTGAGGATGGATTTAGTCCTCTCTCTGACCATGGAAACTTCACTGATGACAATCATTTTTGGACAGAAGAGTGTTGTGTTTTGTAACAGCTATTGTAAGCCAAAGCTGTGATGATTGAAATCATGTGAGCAGAGTGCTGCAGACGGACAAATCAGAAGAATTGAGATACAGCAATACAAGTCAAATACAGGAATGTAACAACAATGCAACAACTAATTCTGAAGGTGTCTGCTTTTAGGGAAGTGTTTAACTTGTGCTTGACATACAAAATTAGAAAATACCAAAGATCGTCTTTCTTTGCTAATCTAGACGTGTGCAGATGTCATTGGATCATAAGTGAATGTGAGCTACTGCTCTTATCTAAGCAAGGTCATGACCGGCCGATGTGACCAATATGTAACCTGGGTAAACCATTGGCCCTGTTCTCAGTTTTACAGGAACAGCAAACTACCCCAGTTAGTATATTGTTAATTCTATAATCAGAATCAACGTTAAGTGTGTACACATTCAATAAATATGACTTATCTAAATGTACATGCATAAAGATAAACATACGGCTAAAAACAGGTAACAGCGCTAAACAACAATCATTTGACTACTATTAAACAATGTGAAACATCTTAGAAATGTGACAGTAGCTGTGCTCTCCATGTTTCAGTCTTATACAATAACTCATATAGTCAACTCCTACAACAGTGTTCACACACAAGCACGGTGAGAAATCATTCTTTAGACCTAATAGCTTACATTATGATGACATGAGTTACAACAGAAGAGGTTTGAGGTTGATGATGATGGTCCAGTGATATGTAATGAAGGTAAAAATGGGAAGCACAGTGGTGCTATGACTGGAGGCAAGGTCCACTGAAGGCTGTTTAATAAGAATAAACCAAATGTCTCTTTATTTTTCAATTGTCATTATTTATGGCCTCGTGATCAACACATGCTCACTCTTCCATGTAGGTATGTTTGGTTCTGAAATTACATAAAAATAACAAGTAAATAGATGATGAATACAACTAGGTTGCAAATTAACCATGGACATCAAATATCAGATGAAATAAACAGCATTAAATAGATCTGTATCTATAACATAGAGATAATTAACAAAGACTCATGTAAATATAACTAATCTATGGTTTAAATACACGTATAATGCCATCTACTGGTAGAAATGGTAAACACGTTTACTCTGCGTCTCATTTTACAGGCTATGCTCTGCCTTCACTCAAGAAACAGAATACGGTGGACAAATAAATATCAGTGCAAACAGCAACCACTCTGCACACACAAATTGTTTTTGATTAAACTATATTACGAACTGCATTGCATCAAACAATGCACCGATTAATCGAAAAGTTGATTCTTGCTGTGTACATGGATAAATTAATATTAAATCACCTGTAGTCAGCTAGATACACTGTAGATAAACTACCATCGACTCAGATATATTTATTTATATTCATTAATTAACCCTCCTGTCGTGTTCGGGTAAAATCTGACCGATTTACAACTTTAATCAATCATAAATATTGTGTTTTACATCTGATTACGTCAAGGCCTCATGATATCCTCCACACTAGGCATTTGAACATATCAAATTGCTGATCACTTTCATTGAATTTTTTGTGGTTTAGTCAACTTTGTAACACCCAAGGTGTTCCCGGTCAAAAGTGACCGCCATAGGAAATGAAAGGGAAACACTAGATTATGTCCATTCATCAGATGGAAAACAGCCCCATACACACCCACAACCACCCCTCCTCCCATACACACACACACACACACACACACATATACACACACACACACACCTGTGTAAACACCTGTTCACAGCCCCATATACACAGTTGTACACATTTCAAACTTCAAACTAAAAAATCAGGTGTTTGTTATGGGAACCCATCTCTATCCCGCGCTTATGTGCCCATCCCCCCACGTGGCAACTTGCTCTGGTATTCATCCTCCCAGGACAGAGGAGGAAAGGATGACGCCATGGCCAACACGATATGCAACATCTCGTGTGGATGACTTCAAGTCCAGCTTCCAACTCTTTTTACCAGAGTCCATTGAGGGTATTATACTGGACATGACAAACCTGGAGGGGGGGCGTGCGTTTGGGGACACGTGGAGAGCATTGGACCAGGTAGACCTCCAAGCCTACATGGCTCTGTCGATTCTAGCAGGAGTATATCGGTCAAACAATGAGGCTAGAAAAAGTCTGTGGGATGCGGAGTCCGGGAGGCCTATATTCCGGTCAACAATGTCCATACAACAGTTTCATTTAATTTAGAGATACAGTTTCAGTGTCTATTCTTTGTATATTCACAGCAGTTATTCATATAAACCACTAGTCTGAGACATTGTTTACAGCTTAAAAGGGTGTTAAATAAAATGTGGTGATGATTAATGTTTTTTGTGTTAATGTGTAAGAGCAGTTAAAACAGACCAGGTTAAATGTTCTTCTAATGTTACCCTGGTACGTGCTTGCATCATGGACTGTAAATAAGAATTCCTTGCATACGGTCATTCTATTGCCTTGACTTTTATTTTGAAATATTCTTACTTCCGGGTCACCTGTTTTGCTTTGCGCGTCATTCAGTTCAGAATTCTTCCTGCTACGAAAATGTCGTACTTTCTTCTGTTTTTGTCGTCGATAATCCTGGTCTGCGGGGCTGCCGTGTGTCCGTGTGAGAAACCGGGGCTCTGTCAACAGATCCGCGAGGAGAGAGACTTTGAGGTAGTTAATGTCAGTTTGACAACATGGTGTCGCTGAAACTCCACCTGCAGCATATTACTTTTACAGGACAATTCACCTTGCAAACTTTCACCATTTTCTAGCATATTTGATAGGCCACTTTACCATGTAGCTACAAGTTACAGCAGACTGAAAGAAGAGCAAATAAAACATTTTGCTGTTAAGATAAATGGACAGAAGTTTGTGCTGGCTGCTGTTTTACAATGGTGTGTCACAAACCTCTGTTCATGATTGTAACAAAACTAGATCTTATGATGGAGATCTATAAAATGGCATGCTTTGGTTGGTGAGTATTAAAGTGGCATCTTCACCTAGAAAACATTTAATTTATCATAGTCTAAACATACATAAAGTAATTGAAAAATCAATCTGTAATGTGTTGGCTGCATGGCAATAACTAATATTTGCTGAGCTTTCTATTATTTTTTCTATTGTAAGTTTCATATTTGGACCGCTGTTCCTTTATCAGTGCAGCGTGTCTGTGATATATGAAAAGGCTATCTTTTTTTGTGCACACTTGACTTCTGCTATTTTGAAGAGCCCTTTTGTAACTACATTTATCAATGTTTGATATTTGATTGTTGACATACTTGTAATAGACTCTTCTCTAATTTGACTTGACAAAAACAGGTGTAACTACTAACAATGATAACCCCTGTCCACTGTCACTTACTGATGTGGTTTATTGGCACTCTTACATGGAGCTTCGAAGCAACCAACCAAACCTTTTTCAGGAAGTACGTGGTGGTGTTCTTCCCTAACGGAAACAGCCAAAAGAAGCAGAAGATGTGGTGTAGTTGCTTGTTTTGCAATAATTTACTGTACATTATTTTTCATAAATACAAAGTGAAACATCGATCATTAAATATACTTTACCCTGACATGTGCTTTACTTTTCCAAAAATGTGATAATAGGATTTTGATCATGGGTTTTTTTCTGACCAAGGGAACCCTGTATCCAAATACTAGGTCGGCTTAGGTCTGATCAGAAATAAACGATGAGCTAACTCAGGTGAAATGGATGCGGTTAGATGTAAGAACCTGTTTCTGTTGGCAGCAACAGTGACCATTTATTAATCGACTTTATCCAAAGCCAGTTTCATTTGAGTGATTAAACAGTTTTAGCCAACTGACAAGTACCAAACATCGCATGCATTTTATTTTTGATACTTTCAGGCCTGGTCAGACTGTAGTTTTAAGAACTCCGTTAGTAATATGAATGTCAATCATATTATGACTGGTAATATGATTGACATTTTACAGGCTAGACTGAACGATTCAGAGTATTGATCATGAACAAAACAAGGTTATTTGCAATCACCATCTTCAGCCCTGCTTTGTTTCTAATAGTTTGGAGTTCAGGATACAATTTTTTGTTGTGGTAAGATGAGGAGAAGTGAGACTGACTTGAAAAATATCAGTCTGTCACAGGTATTCTTTTTTGGGGGATTTATCAAATTAACAAATAACTGAAATATTTAGCAGGACATTAACGGAGTATGAATAGGAGAAGTGAAGCTTACAGTCATCTGTCTGTGTGGTCTCTGTGTCTTAAGGTGTTTGTGTTTGACGTGGGTGGAAAGACATGGAAGTCCTACAACTGGAGCATGGTGACGACAGTGGCGACATTTGGAAAATACGATGCTGATCTCATGTGTTACGCTCACTCCAAAGGAGCACGGGTTGTACTTAAAGGTAAGATAACTTATTCCATTGTGGAATGAAATCATTTGTAGCAGTTATAGAGTATGGTCCGTTGTTCTTACTTTAGGTCAAGGGCTAAACCGTTATCTACGTAACATACAAAGTTATCTACATCAATATGACATGACATCCTCCTATCATTGAGATTTGTTGGTCTATATCCATCCAGTGACTGTTATTAGCTTCAATCTTTAATCAATGTATGGCATTTAATCAATTCTTTAATCAACATTCATCGACCCATAACTATCTCCATCTCTCTATTTCCTTGTTGGTGGGAAAAGGTGATATTCACCTCCCCGACATCGTGGACCAATATAACAGGACGGCGTGGGTAACAGAGAAGGTAAACTTGGCCAAGAGGCAATTTATGGATGGGATCAACATCGACATCGAACAAGCAGTGGAGGAGGGCTCCCCGGAGTACCATGCTTTGACAGACCTGGTCAAAGAGACCACTGAGGCCTTCCACAGCGCGATCCCAGGCTCCCAGGTGAACACAGTGTTTTGACAAGGTCCCCTAATATGAACATGTAGCTTGGGTTAGCCTTCTTCTCTTTTCTCTAAATACCTCCCTCGCCCTAAATAGGAATCAAGCAGGCAAGAAAATGAATGATTGAAGTGCTGTAAGCCTTGCCTAACCTGACTGGACTCTATGTTTATTTATCTCATCTCGATCTCAAGGTCTCATTTGATGTTGCCTGGTCACCAAATTGTATCGACAAGCGCTGCTACGATTATGTTACCATCGCTGAATCTTGTGACCTGCTGTTTGTGATGTCCTATGACGAGCAGAGCCAGATCAGGGGGGACTGTATCGCAATGGCAAATGCCCCACTCTCTCAAACGTTGAATGGTTTGTTGTCCATTAAAGCATGATGATGAGTCAATCAATGCAGACTTATTCATCACCGCTATATGAAATGCCTGTTGTTCTTTTAAGGTTATGACCAGTTTTTGAGTCTGACGATCGATCCAAAGAAGCTAGTCATGGGAGTGCCATGGTACGGCTATGACTACCCATGCCTTAACTTTTCCCAGGTGAGATATGCTCCTTTAATAAGATATACAATTCAAATGTTTGCTGTATTTTTAAGTATAGTAATCTATATTTTTAGCAAGGGCCCTCAGAGGATGACTCCTATATTGACTTTGGTGACTCCCTGACTCTTGCAGTTTGACATTTTGAATTTCAGTGAAATGTTTTGACAAGTTTCTGGATGGATTGCCATGAAATATATTTACAGATATCTGTGGTGCCCTGTCGATGAATGCTGATAACTTGAGTGATTATCTGACTTTTCCTCTATCGTCACCTTGAGGTTGACTCGTGCCGCTTTTAAGTGAAATGTCTTGAAAACTAGGCGTGACTGCTGTGAGGATTTTGGACAGACTTTAATGTCCACCTCAGGATTTGTCTAACACTACTCATCACATTGTCATTGTGAGCATGTTAGCATCATGGATGTGGATTGCAGTTAGCATTCATCTCAAATCAGCCTCATAGTGCCTCTATCATGGCTGTAGACTCTTAGCCTTGTTTTTATTGTTTACAAATCCCATAAAAAGACTGAAACTAACAATGAATGGCTATTAAAACACATTAATGAGCCACGCCGTTGATGACCATTTATTCTGAGTCAATTGCATGTATGCTTTACTGTTGCTGTAGCTTCTCACTGGAGCACTAAATGTGTCTTAATCCGCAGCTCTAAGCATTATGTATTAATATACTAATAATACATGCACTATTTACTCGTGTTTATGTAATGTACAGTGCCCAGTTGATTCCATTATTACAGACAAATGGCTGAGAGCTGCAGATAGGGGAGGGAGTCAAAAAAGATATTGAGACAGACTAAGACATTGTGTTGCAACTTTTATGGAATTTGACAATAAGAAAAAATGCATTATATTAAGCCCTTTAATTGCCTTTGTGTATGAAATACAGAGATATGGTAATTATGAATCTCTTAACCTTTTCTCTTCTCCCTGTGATTTATGATCTTTCTTTAGTTTTTTTTTTTTTCCCCATCCTGGAAAACATGCTATTGCTGTCATTTATTTACACTTATTTTGTTGCTGCAGGACATCATAAGTTGTTCTGTCTGAAATGTTAACACAGATTTCCCTTAATGTCTTTTTCCATACCAGGAGGGAGTATGTTTTATAAACAAAGTTCCTTTCCGTGGAGCCCCCTGTAGTGATGCAGCTGGAACACAGAAAACATACAAGTGGATCATGAAGCAGGTCAACAACTCATTGTCCGGCAGGCTCTGGGACGACAAGCAGCACGCTCCTTACTTCAATTACGAGGTACATTGTCTTTATTATATACTGTAGTTTAAGTCTTATTTCTGCTTTCATTTGCTTAAAAATATACAGCTCCTTAGTTTGCCAAAATATATACTTTTATACATTTTACACATATACATATATTTCTTTTTACTTCTAATAATAATTTTGTATGACTTTTTTTATGACATACCAGACATGCTATGCAACCATTCACATTCTCTAAGTTGTCATTACTGTTTATCAAAGTTCAACGCTCATAGGTGAAATAACAGTCCTACAAGTATGAATGTGTGTTTTCAGCTTTTGTGTATAACTGGTATTACTCTTTCTAATAAATCTTGCATTGGGTTAGTCACTCGGTTCATTCTCTTGTGCTTTGTTCCCATACCGTCTATGAATTTAGTTGCATTGATACAGTAGTCCAAGGAGTAATCGCAATCAATGTAAAGTAAAGGTAAAGTGTGTCACTGATGTAACCGGTATTAACTCAAAGTGGCGATGAGGTCTTAAATGTATGGAAAGGGTCTCAGAATGTATCACATTTAACTTTAGGATTCCTGTTTTTCCTCAGGACCAGAAAGGACAGATTCATCAGGTTTGGTACGATGACCCACAGAGTCTCTGTCCCAAGGCGGAGTCAGTGAAATCTAAAGGTTTGAGGGGCATTGGTATGTGGAATGGCAACATCTTGGACTACAGTGATGAACCGGTTGCCAAGCAGCAGACTGCAGTGATGTGGAATGCACTCTTAGGATGCTAGCTGGGATACACTCGACACTGCTGCAGAAATGTACCTCACCCGTCCTGTTTGTTGCTAAGTCAATAGATCCCTTTGTAGCAGTAATGGGGTGTGGCTTCTTTATGGTCAGGGATGCATACTCGCACGCAAGTGTTTATTAGGGCTTTTATTGCTGTTGTCATTGAATGTAGTTACGTCTCTGACATTACTCTGTGCAAACTGAAACAACTGATTCTTGGATGGTAAGACAACCAATCTTTAAAGTGACATAAACAGTTTTTTGATTGACACATTTTGAGCTATTGATTCTTTTGATAATTAAAACATGTTTAACATTTTAAAGCATGACTTTTTCTATGGTGTTCCTCAAGGTCTTGGTGTCTTAATGTGGTATTTTGGAGGCATCTTTGATCATTTTTATTATTATCCAGTGGAAAGAAATTGTGAAATTTAGCACCAAATCTGTGTAATAATGGCATCATAGCATGGGGACGGCCATCAGACCTCCCATCATAATATTCTTAGCCCTTTTACACTGACACAATGTATTTGAATTATTTAATTTTATTATTTTTAATTTTGTAGTTATGACTATAACAACTTGACACACACTCCTGAGCAGCTCAAATTAATCTTCAAGCTATTCTGTGTGTCATACCCTGTTGACCTGCTATCTCACCCTAAAAATCCCCCCTTAAAAAATTGACAAAAACGGGTCTGTGGGTCTCTCAGCTTACAGCACCTCAGAAATTCAGAACACATTTGCATGAAGTAATAACAAAAAATGGAAAAATAAAAGTACAAAAATACGAAACTCAGAAAATCAAACAAATCAATATCAACTGCTGTCCCACCAAAGGATTTTTTCACAGTCTGTATGTACTGAATTAGATGGAGGTGCTTTGAACTTGTGGTCTGTCCCGTGTGGTCTTTCCAAAGACCAGCGATGACATGCGACCAGGATGAGAGGCCTGACTCTTCTTCTGGGCCAGCTCAGCCTTCAGGGCCCTCAGCTCTGTGGCAGCCTGTTTCCTCAACTACGCAGCCATTCATGAAACAATAACATGGTTTGTTAATATAATACACCAGATGCTGCACCAGCATATCTAAGAGTATTTACCCAAGTACAGCAACTGAAGCAGAAATTCAAGGTACTGTTACTTTTCTTGATCCTATGTTAAGGAACTTCATACTTCATCTCTGATATGGAAGGAATAATTCCCGATGAGATGTCCATTATCAGGGATTATACCATGGTCTGGGTGAATACTTGATTCTGATTGAATATCTTAATTACATATCTTAAATACATTTAAATGTAGCTAGCTATCCAGCTATGTCATTGTCGCCAAATCAATAAAGATTTTCACAAACAATTGAGAAGCCACGTGTACTGTCGACCGCAGCCTAAGGTAGCGAGTGGGATGTGAGAGACGATCACTTGTAGTGGGTTCAGAGGGGCAGTGTAACTTACTTCTTGCAGCTTGTGTGTTACAGTTGCCACCCTTTGGTGTTCAGAGGATGAGGCACTGAAGGACTACCTACACTCGTCGTAAATAAGACGTTCAAATGTATTTTTTTCTTTATATTAATGTAGCCAGCGCATTAAAATAGAACGAATCCAATCAGAATTGAATGCTAATACCCTTCCTGTCAACTAAAAACCATGTTTCTCCAAACTAAAATGTTTCTGATAAACTGTTAGATGAAGTGTTCCTTTTATACATTGAGAAAAAACAAACTCTTTAAAAACCCTCTTAGATCAGCTGGAAAATGAATAGTCACAAAGCTGAAAACAGGTGTTTTTCCAAGCTCATGCAAAGCTGACTTTTTAGAGATACGTGGTTCTCACAGGACAGCCACGCTGCAGACATATGATGATCCTGTACACTATTATGCATTACTGTAGATACAACTACATAACAGTATATAAAGTAGACATTAGCAAAACATCTACAGTACTATAATGCAGCGGTTTTATTAATCCAAAAACATCACTTTACTGCACAATGGGAACTTTTGCTTTTGATACTTTAAGTAAATGTTGCTGATAATACTTGCATACTTTTACTTAAGTAAGTGAATGCAGGACTTTTACTATAATAATGAATAAAATAATGATATATTTACTGGTCAAATATGCCAATTTGCGTTGTAGTACGAACTAGTAATAATTTGTATCCTCATAGTAAAGTATGTAGAATATTTTATGGAATAATATCACTTTCAAGTACATGTTAGAACACATCATATTTGTAGGATGCTCCTTTTGTTCAGAGGTTATAGAAACATTTATATAGATTCATAGTTACCTTTATCTCTGTTACCAGCTTCATCTTCGCATCCTCTACCTTCCTCTTCAGGTTGTCAATCTCATGGCTCTCTGTCATGATCTGAATGATGAGCTCATTCTGAAAGTCATGATCTTTCAATCAGTCATTTACTTGACTTTTATGAAAACAATAGCAGCACCGGTGTCATTTTTAATCACTAACCTACCTTTTACATAGCAGACATTTTGACACGACATCACAACAAAAGCCAGGGGTTCCACTTACAGGGCTTTGCTGTGATGCATTCTTAATTCAACTTTTGCTTTTCCTTCTACAAATTCAAATGTATGCTGTGAAAAAGGTGCATTAGCAATTCAAAATATCACTCAGTGTATCCGATTTCTTTGAAAACTATGCAATATTTAGAGAAAGAATAAAACTCATACTGTGTCTACCTTTTAATATAAGTCAAAATCAACATAAAAAACACATAAAAATCAAGATAAAATCCGTTTTACCTTTATGGAAGATCTGCCCTGTCGTCTTGGCTTCCCTCTGTTATCTCTGGCCTGGAGCTGATGCAAGAGTTTGTTGTAAAATGTTTCCAACTCTTGTCGTACGTTTCTCAGATTTTCCTCCAATGGTGCTGTGGCCTTCTTGGTCTCAAAATATTTCTTCTTCCAACTGTCACGTGCTTTGCATTGACGAGAAAGGCATGAGCCGAATTGCGTTACTTTTGACAATTTGACCTACTAAAAAAATATAGGAATTACATTTTGACTTTATTTCATGTCTTTAACGTATTGTCAACTGCAATTAAAACCACAGGGGATTAGATCTTCTACAACTCTGTATTAGCAATCAAGCACTAGAATATTTATACTTAAATCGAAGTTAATTTTCTCTTTACAACAGTAATATGTTACAGGTTTGTTGATCCACATAAAGAACAATTCTGTTCTGTTCTGTTCTTGGGTTCACAGACTGATGACAAACTACAGAACTACAGTATTTGATTGCTCACCTTGGTTCCTGCGATGTCTGTTTTGAGCCAACAAATCTTTCCCCTTTCTTAGCAACTCTTGCCTTGTCCACTCCAGCTGCTTTCTCTCCTCCCTCACCAGCTTGATTTCCTCGATCAGTTCCTCTCCTGGCAGTAACAGACATGTTAGTTGGGTTAAAAAGAAAAAGTGAATGATCGTTAATCCTTGGTATGTGGCCAAAGTGACAGCTCACTGTTTGTCTGAAAGGCGAGAGAGGCAGTCGTTTTTTGAGTGACCACAGTGAAGGCTCGACTTGGAGGTGGAGAGGTGAGCCCAACACACCGAGGCAACCCAACTGGACTTTCTGTCACCTTAAACAAAGCAAGAAATACAACAGTCTGAACAGAGTTTGATTTTAATGGACTAGTCTGTATTCCTCACACACTCCACTAGATCTGCCTGCTGGCAGTGGAATTTAGACTAATGACAACACCAAGAAACTTAGGATTTCCTTTTTTTCTTATCTTTTAAAAAAAAGGCCCTGTCAAAAATCCTTTAAGGGCAACCTCTCTCAAAGGTTTTTTCTCAAGAGGAAAGACTGAAGTCAACATGCTGAGATATGTTTTAAAGTTTTGTCAGAAAATGCTGGCACATATGTAACGCTATACATTACCCCACTTGTTGGTTTAGTCCTGTTGGACTTCAATACATGTACATCTTTTGATTTGCCGAGCCTGTAAAAAGACACACCGTTACAGAAGCAGTAGTATGCGTATTCACAGCAGCGTACAAGTATGGCACTCAAGTTAAGCTGCACAGTACCCGTCTGTGAGCGAGCAGCCTGAATCTCTGTCCTCCAGAGACTTGGTGACTCCTGAATTTCTGGCCGTTCTCTTCTGTCGGTGGTACTGTTTGTTCTTTTTGCAGGTTTCTTTGTTCTCTGGCAACTCCTTCACCTGAGCTGAATCAGCTTCACATCGTTGTAAAGCTGTGGATATATAACTGAAGCGCTTAGTACATTAATGTGAGATCCAGGAGATTAGTGTCAAAATGGGCTAAAGATGTCATTTGCTAAGAGGCTGGGTGGCAGATGTGCAATCTTGTTCTACCAATGCAACAAGTGCCTGGTAAACCAGATTACAAAATACCAATACCATTTTCACATTCAAACTAATAAAAACTTTGTTCTGCATCCTTTTGTGTCTGCCTTATTGTCTGTTTGCCTGAAAAGACTGAATTGCCATTTTCACATTTACCTCAAGAATATGAGTCACAAGAGGAGTGATACGATCTGTTCTGAAACATGGCGAATATCAGCAGCACTTTGTTTGAAATTACAGAAACCTGCACTTTCATCACATGGGATAATCGCACAGATAACAGGCTGCAAATGTGTACAACTGGAGCGCATACGGCATTCTTTGTTGCAGAGCAAAAGCTAATATATTGTACCTGTAATTTTGCCTTTATTCTGTGAAACAAGCTGTGTTGCCCTTTGATTATGCGGCTTCCTCGGGCAACATTCCTGCTCTGCCCACTCTAACTTGTTGGAAGAGAGACCCTCCTCTTCATTTTCTCCTTCTGCCTCTGAAGAACTAGAGCTCTGCTCCTCATCTTCCTCCTCCTCCTCTTCCAGAGTGGGAGTGGGAGGTGGCTGATGGGAACACTGGGGGATGAGGGGAAATTTAACAGGCTCTTTTGTTCCTGCTGGCAGGCTGCATGTCTTGGGAGGGGGGTAATAGGTCTGGTGGTCTGGGGAGCTGCTGCTGGTGTCTGGGTTGAGCGACTGGGAGCAAACACTGCTGTCGATCTCCACAGTGGGCAGCAGGTAAAGCTCTGGCTGTGGGGCCTGCCGACAGGTGACAACAAGACACAAGTGGGGCTTAGCTGGTACATAATGAAGATCATCACATACTGTAGAGCTGCAACACTAACTAACTAATTAGACAAGTACATACAGGAAATCACTGAAGTTCATAACAAAATAGAGGGAGAAATTAGCAGCGTAGATGGCATAACAAATACAAAATTGAAAATTATAAAGTCACACTCACACAAGTGAAGATGACCTCTTATTTTTTTAAAGGATAGCAATGGCAATACCATACATTTGAAATCCACTTGCTGTGATTGGGATCTGCTCTTGCACAAGAGTGGTTGCTTTTCTTTTTTTTTACATTTTGGTTATTTTGAAAACCTGAAAAACTATTATTTATAACACCAAAAAAAAAATGCAAATATGGAACATGGATTCTACATACATACGGTGGAGCGAACGTTTTCACTTTCAGATCCTTCTCCTGTTTGCTCTTGACCTGTAGCAAAGGATTTGTTTGTTGTGAAAGGCAATAAAAACTGTGTACTCACTTCCCTCTCTTGTACACCACACACACACACACACACACTTAAGTGTTTACAGCTTGAATAGTGAACTTGCTAATCAAACTGTCTGCATTGTTTCTCTCTACTGTCTGCCCGGTGAAACACAACCAGCTTTAGAAAACCACAATAAACATCCAGCTGCACTCACCAGAGCCAAACTGCGGCCCACACATTTGAGGAAGGAAAATTTTTCGATGTGCCTCTCAGCGCCAAGAAGAGCTCCCAGCTCGCTCCTCAGAGTTTTCAGGGTGCTATCAGGATAAACCCTGAGTGATGAAAAGGAGATTCGAGATAACTGAACCACAACACTAATTATGTTTTCACACTTCTTTCGCACTGTGACACCTCCTGAAGAACCCAGGTATAACTATCTGTAATCTGGGTTTCTGTGGATTTTTTAGTGACCTGTTATAGTCTAAACACTGTAAAATAAAAATCTGAGGGAAAAGTTGAATAATTGCTGAAATAAAAATATAACAGCTTTCAAGAGCTCACATTTAAATAACATAATCATATCTAGCTTTAAAAGCTAATATAAAACATTAAATAAACATTTAAAGTAAAGTGCTTTTCCTTACAGGCTGCACAGTGCTTTGAAAACCATCAAATAAGTATTAAATAAATATTGTACTTGTTATTTCACTGTTTGTCTGACAGAATTACCTGATAACAACACTTGCTAATAAATAAACATTTCCAGAATAGCATTTTTTACCTGATGAAGCCAGCAGATATGAAGCTCTCTATGGCTGCAGCAGGGACTTTATTGAGCTTCACGTTCCACTGGTCTTCTGGAACATACAGCACATGGAGCTCCACAAACTAAACACACAAAAACGGCCATCAACACGTTTCAGTGTGCATATTGGCATCATAAGTATTAGACAGCACAGTTGTATTCCCTGTACACAAAGACAATGATGCATTACTTTTCTTAACGTACCTTGCAACTGGCCGGTCTTCTGTCCTCAGGATTTCTCTTTGACTCACAAGACAGCTCCATTACCATTCCCAGGAGAAGCAGAGAAACACTTTAAGAGGGTAGATTTCTGTTAGGTTTGTTCGCAGGAAGCCTCGTTTATTGGGAAGTGAAGGCGTGAACTGCTCGGTAACAATTTGGTGCAATCAAACCCAGACAGTCTCCCAGTGGAGTTTATTTTATGAGAGTTCCAGCGCTGGTTGCTCTGGTGCTGATGATGACAATTACTGCAGAGAGAAGCAGCTAATCCAATTTGTCGTCACCTGACACTGTCCTTAAATTTGAATCCGTTGTGCAGGTAAATTCAGTTTTCAGTTTAATGTAAATTGGAATTCAATGGGTGAATGCTGGCAGAGCAATCTCGCTATTTTATATTACGTTATTCATCCAGCAAAGGCGACATGCGATATGGTTTAATTTCCTTTTTACTAGGAAGCTATATTTTGTTTTTAGATTGTATTATAGATTTAGCAAAAAAAATTTAAAAAAAAGTTACTTCTTAAACGTGACACATTACATTGAAAACATTCAGGTTATGTCGAGAAATGTCTGAAGTTTTTCTTTGTACAGTATTTCTGGTTTTTATGTCTAAGTGTGATAACACTTTATTACCACTAGAGGTCGCGATTTCTATTGGTCTGATGCTGCATTCGCGCACCCTGGAAGTTGTTGTAATTATGAATCTTACTGAGAAATTGTTTATTCTCCCCTAAATCTCATTCGTGTTTTTGGTATTAGAGTTAGAGCGTTCATACAACATAAACTACATAAAAAACAATTTACTAATTTAAATTAATTAGCTTTCATTAACATGTACGTATTCCCATATGGTGTAATTTCCATCTAAAATAAACAGTCGACGGTACAAGAAAACATGTTAAGAACACCCCGTGAAGGCAGCACTGGTGGACACTCCTGTAAAGAAAACCAGAAACTCTGTGATGAGGAAGAAATAGTTGACAACCAAGCTTTGGAACCCAAAAGTGACTTTTTTTTGTAAAACTTTTAAAGTCGTCATTATAAAGACTACAGTCCCACGAAACCGTAACAATGTCGGGATCGTCCAGCATCGTAGCGATGAAGAAAGTCGTCCAACGGTTACGCCAGGAAGCTGGCATACACAGAGTTAAGGTGACGTTAACGTTACTCAGTTTAGGGCGTGTTGTTTCATTTGTTGTTCAGATGTTATCCCACCTGGTTGGTTACATAACAGCGTTTAACTTTCCAGGACTTGTTTTTGGTTCCCCTCCACAGGTGTCACAGGCCGCAGCAGACCTGCAGCAGTTCTGCCTTCAGAACGCCCAGCAGGACCCTCTGCTCACCGGCATGTCGTCCAGCAACAACCCGTTCAGACCGCAGAAAGTCTGCTCCTTTCTATAGCACCGGCACACGGAGCCTCTTCCTCCGGTAGTACCACAGCACGTGTTCTTCTCAGTAACATCTGTGCATGTCATTCTCTGGGTGCGAAGAGGTCAGAGACCGGACACAGTATTAACACCTGCAACCACGTCACAAAATCTCATTAAAAAAAATAAAAGGGATATTCTGCATGAGTACTTTTACTTTTGGGACTTTGATGCTAATACTTTTACTTAAAGTAAAACATTTGAATACATGACATTTACTTGTAATGAGATCATTTGTACACAGAGTACTTCCCCCCCCCCCCCTAACCGATAACCAGCAGCACCATCTTAATGAAAATAAAATAAAAACACTTAAACAGTTGAGAGAATAGGCATATCTGAAAAGCTTAACATGTTTTGCCCCTTCTGTTGTACCAACAGTAGATGTTAATCTATTCTGGACTTTGCTGTTAAAGTTAAGTAAAAACATCAAGTTTATATAAGGTCATAACTTACAGCCACATTGCAATACCTGGAGAAATGTTAGGCAACAAGATGCATCTCATTTACAGACACCTGGTTCGTAATGATCTACTCATAAATGGCATGTAACGGGTTCATTAACTCTAAAAGAAAGTTGGAGATGACGTGTACAGTACTAGTTACTTTTGAGTAAAATGGTTATTGGGTCTGACTAATGCATATGAAACATTTCTGCAGGTTTCGGACATTGTGTTGCCTTGTTGGAACTGGACTGCAGGACCTGCGCTGTGGACTGGAACGGCCTCAGTAGCATTTGTGAATTTTTGGGACGAGCAACTACATTTTTTTTTTTTTTTTACTTTTGTCTTCGTAGAATCTCACACGGACACACATTTTCAGGTGGTTATGTGGCACGATATTAGTCTTGACCTACTTGCTTTGAAGTAACTAACCCACACATGTGCCTTTTTAATTGTACATTTTTCATTCCTGATTGAGAATAAATGGCATTTCCACATTTTAAACATGTTTTTATTAAAATGAGTCTATGCCTTTTGAAATGTGTTCAATGTGTCTATTATCAAATACAAAAAGCTGCTGCACTGTAGACACGATTTGAACCATGTAACCATTTGCAGAAACTGTTGCACTGATATCATCTGCACAGACCAGGATGTAATAGGTCTGCATGTATGGCAGTCTGACAATGACTTATTCATTTTGGGCCACATTCATAGAGTTTGTTTAGATACATTTGAAAGGAACTGCACATATGCGAGTACAACTCTCAGAGACACTTGCATTCAGGTTATTCAGATTCATGTACAGAGCCAGTATGTCTCCTCTCTGGTGTCTCCCAGACTAAAGTCTTTGTGATGAGCTGCAGGCTCCTGTCCCACACTTGGCCTGCAGATGCAGCTTTATAGAAGTCGTTTTCAGAGTGAGTTTCAATCTTCAACAATGTGATATTTAAAAAAAAAAAAAAAATCCAGCAGTCGGTGTTGTCATCATGTTGAAAGGAGTTCAATAGTTGAAAGGAGAAGTGATAACTAGTCGTCCACAAAGAATCTGGATGTCCACTCTAAAGTCCATTTGTGGAAAGCCACAAACTGCAGTAATATCTTTGTCCTGCTGGTTGTTATTTTGCATTTAAAGTTGGAACTTTCGTCTGCAGGCATCCATCTCATGGCGCTGGAAACAGAAGAAGTGTATTTTTTTTTTAGCATTACAGAAAAAGCCTGGGACATTATTCCTATTCCGAGTCACATTTAAGAAGCACTTCAAACATGGCAGACATTGATAAACTTCAAGTGGCACGGCCCAAAACAAATTACTGTTGAAGTGCCATCATCACAGCTCTTCTCAAAGATTTCGGCACTGAGAGACTCACCTTCAGGACCCACTCGTACTCCCCGAACTTTGAGTCAAAGGTGCCTTTCTGTAGAGAGCGCAGTTTGAGGGTGAAGCGAGGTCCCAGCTCTTGAATACCAACTTTCTTCTCATTCTTGAAGATGTACCTTCGAGAGATCAGAATACCAGTTTATAGACCATCTCTATTCTTGGAACAGCTTCTGAAAAATGACGGTTCTAATACAAGGCAGGTCAGAGTTCAGCTGAAACACTCACCTGTGAAATCTGAAAAAGACAAAGTCTCTCTGGTTGTGGAAGGTGGCGACCTGTCGACCCACAAAATGAGGGTCTTGTGGAAAGAGGGCAGCAAACATCCGTCCGATGCTGTGACCCAGACGTGTGGTGAAGTTGTTGAGGATCACCTCTGGAGAGTGTAAAGTTGGATCTTTGCCTCGTCTCTGCAACGAGAAAGCACTACAATTATGATGGGATCACATGACTAACAGTGGCTTCATATATTAAATGATGATTTTGATTATAAAACCACGTGGACGATTCAGGCTTGAATGCCACACAGCTAATCATCAAAATATTCAAGCATTAATTGAGGTATGATTGCAAATAAATAAAGGCATACGTTTCACTTTTAACTAAAGTAGCAGGCTTAATTCATCATGCACATGATTTTCTTTAAAGCTGTATAACCCATTATATTGTCACGGTATTACAAAAGCCTCACTTAATCAAAACAGAAGCAGGAAATAGAATTTGAACTCATCGACTTGCCTTCATCTCCTTGCGTAGTCGAGCATTGCTGATCTTGAAGTGTGCAGTCGGCCCGTCGGGAAGATGACAGAGAACCAAACCATCTGACAATCAGGTTAAGGGGGCCGAATAAGGTCAGACTAGGGTTAGTCAAGCTAGTCTAAGTTCTAGCTCACCGCGTCAACGTTTGTTAGTGCAGTCGTCTCTGAAGTTGGTGAGATTCAAAGCTTAGTCACAAAAAAAAAAGACACAATCCTCGTCCACTATCTAAATGACAGCGATGTAATGAATACGGGGTAACAGAGAACAGCATACACAGCATTGTGCGTCATCTTCCCCTGTCCCGACACAGCTGCCTTTGAGGATACTGGGCACTTTGCGATCCTCGTTGATGACCATCAGGTAGGTGAAGTTTCTGGCGACGCACTGAGGAATGATCCTCTTCAGGGCCAACCCTCTTCTGTAGTACACGTGGGCGTCTGGGATTACTGTGGCCAGCTGCTCACAAAACCTCACCGTCCTCTGCAAGACGCACATCAGAGAGTTAATAATGTTCAACACCATAGTAAAATGTATACAGCATCTTTAAAATATCAACAACACAGCCTCAACATTTGACCTATTGCACTATGACAAGTTGCAAACTCTATCCCGGTGTACGAAGTAGGCTAAGACTTTTAAGTATTACCAAATCTACCGGTGCATATATTTTGAAATGGTTTGATCAGGTCAGGAGCATTTTCCTCAAGAGCATCTTTGCTGATATGTGATATTAAAAAAGGTGACAGATTCTGGCAGCTTCAATATTTTTGCCGAGCAGCAGCCACTTACCCCTCTTGGTCTGTCTGATGTTGTGATGAGCACTTTGGGGTTTGTCAACCCATTGAAATAGGCAGAAAACTCATCAGTTCCCTCGTCAAACGCAATCTGTACATAAAAACAGACACACGCACGTTAATGCAAACCCATTAAATACAACCCGAGAGATGGTTTGAACAAGCTCGACCAAACTTGGTAAACACCTCTTCATCCTGTGGATCAACGGTTGTCTCGTCGTACACTCTCTGGTTTTCTATCGTCTTTGGGACCTCTTTTGGCGGCGCCTTCATGAGGGACAGAATAAAAGAAGAAATTATTGCCCAATATTAATGTTGTTACCTTGTTCAATGGTAAAATTCATTGAACTAAGAGGCCACTTAATAAACTTTAGTCTTTGACTGATGATAGCAACATATGGGACAAGACGCAGAGTAAAAAGAAAACTCACCTTGTCACCTAAAGCTTCTCTTTCTTTTTTCTTCTTCTTCTTCAGCTGCAGCTTTTGCTGAAATATGAACACAGAAAAATATAAACACTGAAATGCCAGACGGAGTGTGCTTGTAACTTATATGTACTGTAGCGCTGAAAGTTATAAAGTGGTTCCAGCTTCTCAAATGTGATGATTTCATGTTCACGTCTGCTGAATATCTGAGGTTTCTAGATCGTTGGACAGACAAAACCAGCAACTTGAAGATGTCATCTTGTGCTCTAGTAAATTTACTATCTTCTGATGTTTTATGGATTATGAAATTAAATTTGAACTGCAACTGATAACTGCAGCTTTAACGTCAACGTTGTTGAGTAAGAAGTACCATATTTCCTTCTGAAATGTAATAAAATAGATATATAACATGGCATACAATTGGAAGTTCTCAAGTAAAATCATGGAGAAAGTACCTCAGACGTACACTCAAGTACAGTACATGAGTGGGTGAGTACCTTCCACCACTTATGAGGGGGGAAATTAATATTACAAACATAAAAAGTGAGAAAACAATTTCAACCTGACCTGCTCTCTATAGGCCACATTAAGGGAGGGCTTACAGCGTGACTGTTGTAGCAGACTGCACTCAGGCTAGTTTTAGCTCGGTGGACCCACAGACTGAGTGTCATAAACTGGCAGCCAACGTGAAGTTTACTTGGTAAAAACTAGCTTAGCTAGTATGTGTATGGATCTTTACCTTTCTTTTTTCCAGCTTGAGTTTCAGGAACATATGGTGTCTTCGCTGTTTGTTCTTGATCTCGGACACACTGAAGGTGGGGGGGAAGGCAGATTCTGCTGCCTCGCTCTTCTCCATCTTCACGTCCTCCTTCGTCTCAACTCCATCGGCTCCTCTGTTTCCCTCCGTATTCTTTGTCTTCTTATTCTTCTTTTTCTTACTTTTGTTGTCGTGACTCACGGGGACCTCTGTAATGTCCATCTTGGGTAGGCTGTCTGTTTTGGCCACAGATTTTTCACGTGTGTGGAGCTAGCTTCCTGTTCGTGTGCTCGCTACCGGGGACCGGAAGTGACCCCGTTGTGGTGGTCGAGGATGAAAATATGGGGACACCTAGTGGTGAGGAGGAGAAAGAGCAGGGGACAAACGGGGGCTGTTTTGGCTCTGAAGACAAAGTAATGGTCAGTACATTGAAGTATAATTCTTAAAGCCCCATTCCACTCAAAATGTTTGTTACTTCTCTTGGATGTTTGATCTTCCCTGTGCAGAAATATGTATGTATGAAAAGTACACATTCATCTGTAGAAGGGGGAAAGTTTCTCTGAACAGGTTAAACCTAATGTAATTGATTTATCGGCCACATGGGCACAGTGGAAATAATTTGAGAAAGCCAACTGTCATTTCTATTTATTTGTAAAAATGGTCTGGGTGTTTGCGCTTGAGTTTTGGTGGTGCACGTTTCCTTTTGTTTACATTTAAATGCAACTTTTTAAGCACGTTGTGATTACGTGGAGGTGCAAGTTTACATGGTCCATATTTGATCCATCTTCCCTGTTCTTATCAGCTATGCAGGTCCAGCCACCATCAGGAGTCACACACACCACAATCACAATAAGGCAATTAAACACTTAATACACTATTGACCATGAAAATGTGCATAACAGAGGATCCCCCCACTGAACACATAGTGGAGACAACATTTTTCCAGTTCAACACCAAAAATGTCATCCTCAGAAATCACAACCAACCCTAATATTATGCTGTAAGTGTTTATTGGGTGACCTGCAAAAACAGTCGTTACACAACAGAATGTCTCTGAAAGGATTTATTTAGGACATTTTAAATTGTTGACTATAATATTGGTATATAATAATGGTCACGCGATTAGGACCCAGAATTTTAAAAGTATGGTGAGGCGTGGTGGTGGTGTGAACAGGAAGGTGTGGTATCACTGGGCAAAGATAGTTCAACATTTTTAAAAAGCCACTTCCTTGATGATCAACATCATAATGCAACACAACCAGTGTATTTATTAACAAGTCAAATCATCAGCCTTTTTGTAAAAGTGCTCCTCTTAACAAATATCTTTGCTCGATTTTCACAATGTGCCAATAAAGCATGAAAACAATAATAAAAATAACAAATAACAATAACTTCTTTACAGAGCAGGAAAATAACAAATTACATTTAGAAAAGTACAAATTTTAGGCTCAATAATTTGTACTTGTATTTTCACCCTTTTTGCAGTAGAAAACAGTTGAAAATGACATAATGTACAGGAGTTACTGTTCTTCTTGCAGCATCAAGCCTACAGCTTCGATATAAATTCCACATCTGCAAGAAATGGAAACATTGTGAATATATCCTTTAACTGAAGTGTTGTTGTCTGCTATTGTATCTGAATTACTGTTTCCATTTGAAATGAAGCATCCAAAATCAAAAGAAAACTACAAATTCAAGTTCCTAGTTTGGGTTTAGTATTTCTGCTGACTTCTTTGAGTGTTGTTAATTTTGTGAGAACAAAAGCTCCAGGGTTGCTGTGACTCAGCTTATTTTATTTAGCGGACACACTGTTCAGGAATAAACACTGACGCCTATATCAACTGACATGATAAGGGCCTGATGCTGGGTCCTGCTTTAATATCTGACCTTGAGTCTCTTTCTTGAAGAGGGTCCTTGTGTCAAAATCTAGTTGAGAGACTTTAATTATTGTAGTTTTGTGCTTCATATTCCCAAATGTATGTGTTACTGTGGAGCCAGATAGTATCCCAGCATTGAGAGAGACCTTATAGTTTATAGGGGCCCAGCAACTAATCTTTTGCTCAGGGGCCAACAGTTTAATCCGTCCATGGCTGACAGGCTAATCACCCATTAAAAGGAAAAAAACAAAAACAAAACGGCAGCAACATAACATTTGTAATTCAATGTCATTTAATATCATCATTAATTTCAATGTATTTCGTCTGCAGTCATAGTATCCTGATGGTATGGAAGTTAATGCTTAAGGCATGATCTTAAAAATGAAAAAAAATGCAGTTACACCAAACATGGTGTGTTAAACTTCTAAAATGTCAAGCTTGCAACAAGTTTAAGTCTAGATATATAATGGTGCAGTTAATGTCAAGGGATATCAGGCTGCCCCGTCTTGTCTGTTTGTTTTTGGTAGTGCAGATACACTTTTCTTTACATTGCCTTAAAGGGTCATGTCTTTAAAACTCTCTGTCTTGAGCATCAGAATGTGATGATGCAAGTTCACATGTTTCATACGATTCGATTATGGAACTGAAAGCCTTCACAACTGCAAGGTTTTCAGTGCATATTGCTCCTCCACCTCTTTTCATCTGACTCTTTTCCCTGTTCATATCAGCTATGCAGGTCCAGCCACCATCAGGAGTCACACACCACTTGGAGTGATCTACAGTATCACTAAAGGACTCATTCTTCAGGAACTTTACTTCTATCACGTTGTACACATGATGAGGGATGCTGGAGCTGCAGTTAGAAGACAGAGGGCCACGCATCTTTCCCCAGCTCTTGACATACAGATTCTGCTCGAAATAGTTCACAATAAGGCCAGAGTAAAGATCTGCAAAAGTTTTGAAAACAAAACAAAACACAATAGTGTTATCTTTGAAAATGAAGAGTAGCCCCGCCACATACAGACCATGGGGATCAAATTTCATACATACATCAAATAAATAAAACTGCAAACAAAAAGTTATATGGTATTGTTTTGTTGTTTTCAATAGACAACAGGACAGACAGTCTGTCACTGTAAGAATAATTGTAAACATGTTCCTAATTTTGCTTTGTAAAAAACTCAAAAACTCATCATATCGTCAACCTAATGTGAAATTCTAACACTTGAATCCTGATTGATTGGTTAACTGCAACCACTCACCATCCCCAAAACGTGTGTATTTAGCAAAGCTGGAGAATTTACGTCCATTCATTGAAGTCAGCATCTTCACACGAAACCAGGGTTTCTCTTTTGGGTAGCAGCTTCGCTGTGCAACACATCGCAGGTCATCGTGGAAGGTCTTCGGGATGTCATAGTCATATGAATAAGCATGGATGTATTTGAGCTGCAATCCTGAGAATTCAAATTGAAGTTATTCTTTTTGGCAAATAACTTTCATGAATGTAACCGACATTAACCTACCTATTTCTTTGAATTCGTCATAGGAGTAAGTCACACACATAAAAGTTTGAGCATTAACACTTCCACTGTCTGGCCAGAAGTCGTTGGTGCGATATTTTGGAAATTTTGGTGTACTGTGTGAGAGCCAAACTCCTGTTTGTTTGTCCAACATCACAACTCCTTTAGGACGTAGAACAGAAGAAAACAACAGAAGCAGAGCTTTGTTAAATAATGATATATTTGACTTTGAACTCATTAAAGTGGAAAATGGCTGCACCCACCTTTACTGTGGCCAAATGATGCAGAAGGTCTAACATATAGATCTGGAGGTTGATCATTATAGAGCATGTATCCATGATCTTCAGTCTACAACAAAATAACAGCAAACTGAATCCGTGTGCAGATTGAACTCTGTGCTGTCCAAGAGAGACATATGTCCTGGCATTAATACATTACCTTTCTCTTGTAGAAGTCAAGAAGAGGTTTCAGGGTGTTTGCCAGAGTACCAGAGTCACTGTTGATTGCTTTCGTGCTGACTTTCCATCCGTTGGTGCTCTCATCCATGTACAGATACGACAAACCGTAACCATTCACATTGGGCAATTTGTATAAAATATACCTAATGATACGGAGATAAATATATTCTATCACATATTCAGCTGACACTGAGAATAGGTGAGGTGAAAATATGAATTGCCACAATTCAAAATGTCTACCAACCAGTCCACCTCATTTCCGTTGTCATCCCTGCATTTCACATCTGAATCACACCCTTGAAAAAGGATCCCAACACTGTAGAGCAACGCCATCATTGTTACCTGAAACAATCAAACATGATCATGAGAATTACAAGGACAAGTCTTATTATCTTAGATTAATCACTCGTTGATTGCCTTCAATATCACATTTTCTGAATGTCAAGAAATTTACAATTTTCTGGATATTATTTTGGACATGGTCGACAAAAACATCCTCAGCTTAATTTAGAGTACGATGAATTCAAAATGGCACAACGTTTTGTGGAACTTAAAGTTGATGATATAAATAAATATCCAGAGCTTTCAGCTTTGTATCCTTGAGCCGAGACAGCGGTACAATGTCACCCGTTATGATGTAACCAAAATTCAATACTGAGGTCACATGATGAAAATGTAATCAACTCCATGTCAATGGAGCAAACTCCGATTGCTGATTAAGGCTATGAAGTGTGGCTGAAAGCTCCAGAAATAGCTAATAATTGGACCTTGAGTTAAGATTAATATTGTTAAACTACTCTTCCTAAAGTCACGAATGAACTGTCATGCTCAAAGATTTTAATATAGCAATTTGGCAGAACTGGTTTAAACTCTTTACACACTCAGAAAATTACACAACTGTAACACAGATGATGGTTATAGTGTCAGTAACGTGTTTGGCAATCCAAAATTCACAGAACGACCTCAGAGCTCCCTGGCATAAATTCACAAGTCTCTGAACTCTCCAGGAGGGAACATCATTCTACAAAAAATAGTCCTCATTTGATGTTTTGATGATAGTGGTGATAGAGATTTAGGATGCATCTGTATAACTGATCTTTTTAAATGGAGAATTATAACTGGCACCACCATCAGGGATTATGATATACAGTATTACAATTCATTTCAAGGCTCTGCTAAGAATTCCATCCGTGGTTTTGGAGGGAAGTTGGTGAGTTATCAGAGGGCTATAAGAGTTCTGCATTTCAATAAATGAACTTCCTGGACCTTGTAGATTAAATCATTCCAATAGTGCAACACAACTGGTTCCATTTTCACAAGTATTAACAGGTCAAAACAACAGTTTTAATTATGGGCTCCTCTGAGTAAACATCCTTTCACTGTAACAAAATGTAAACACAGTAATTTGATTATTTCCATTTTCTGTGCACTTCTAGATCAATATACTCAGAGGGAAATATATATAAACTTTGAATTCCACTGATTAGTTATTTTGACATTTCTTAGAATACATCTGAAACACGTAAAGCTCATCCTGTGGTTTTCTTTATCTTAAATTTCGACTATTATTGTTTTTAGCATTATTTTACTTACGTATCTAGCCATCGTCATTTCTCTTCAGAGTCAACTGTGCTTTTGGTTTACAAAGCTGCGTTTGTGATATCTCACTCACGGAACTGACACCCACATCTCTCATATTCAATTTGCTTCCTTGTTCCTTGTTCAGACAATTGATTTTGTGACTCACACCAGTAACCAGTTTGACATGCCAATGACATGAGTAAGATGCTCTTCAGACTGAGCACTTGTATCATAGCTCAAGTATAAAGCTTTTGATAGAAATTCTACATCCACAAAGAATGAATTACTGTATGGTTGTATTCCTAAAATTAAAGTATGAATACTTTTTGAGGATTTAAGAAACAGCTTTGAATATTTCTAGGAAGGAATAGTCATTATAAAAGGGAAATGTGGATTGACACATAGTTTGACGCAGAATTACTGCATCCATCTGGCACTTCAAGGGCATTACAACGGATAAAAGTATAGTTGCTCACAAAAAATAGGACCTGAAAACAACTAACGGAACAAGTAAAAAGTACAGTGCTAAATGAAGAACAGCAAGAACATGAAGAACAGGTTTGTTCCCTTTCTCTCTGCTTGTCAAACCATTTTTGTCCCACAGTGAAAATTAAGATTGTTTCTTGGAGAACAACACACAACAGTACAATTATTTTTGATGAGGTATCCATTATCAGGAATTAATGCACGACGTGGAGACCAGAACCGTCCGACGTGCAGTAGTTGATGATAACAAACTTGGTGTTATTGCTTGTTGTTGGATGGTACTGGCTGTACCATCCAACACCCTCTAAGGCACTCAGCCACACAGCTGATTGCGTTTTGCAAAACACTGTATGACTTTGATGCCTCCATGGGTCAGGGAAACAATGGACATTACCTTCAGGGACTACAATTTCATAAAAATGTTAAGGAGTGTAAAAAAGTTGGATACTGTGAAGGAGAGCCACCGGTGCTGCCACACAGTGAGACATGGTGGGAACAGAACAGAGCTAGTGGGAGAGGTAAGGTCAGCTTCTCAGGCAGAGTTGAGACCAGAGTTGAGAAATTTAAATCTCTTCCATTTTGAGTCAAACATTGAGTATAAAAATTGCTGCTGAACCAGGAACCAACAGGTGAAAAGTATAAAAATCAAAAGCTGAGGTGTGGTTTGGATGATAATTGTGATTCTGTATTGTTACCTGTGCAGCTTCTCTTGTATCAGTGTCTTTGAACAAGACAGAATAAGGCCGATGTCTTTATTAGTATTAAGAATGTGATGCGATTCTAGAAAATCCTTGAAATGAGTTGACGAGTATCGAAGACATTAATTCATCTTAGCCCTGTGGCAGAATTCTTGGTTTGTTTAAGGGAAATAAGAATGTAGGACACAATAATAGGCTAAATGTAAAGAGCAGAGTTGGTATGTTCACTATCGAATGGTTCACAGAGGAAATACTACACGTACAGTGTGATTCAATACGTCTAACCACGAGGAGACACTGTTTACCAAAAACAGTGGATACTTAAGTTATTCACCAAATGCATCTTCCTGACAAGGTAACTACAGACATAATGATGGCAAATGCATTTCACAGTCTCCACTCTCATAAAATATAAAAATTCAATAGATACACATATTGACTTTCAATCATTCAGGAAAGTTAAGCAACTGCTTTTTTATACAGAAACGGCCCACTCACACTTATGCTGACACACACACACACACACACAATTTGACCATATTCAGAATTAGCGGTATTTAATCTAGATTTACTTTAAATTCCTCATAAAACATAAAAAGTAAAGAAATAAAGATTCTTACTTAAACACAGGCAAGTTATTTGATGCAAATGAATTATATTTTTTTATATACACGTGAGACAGTGATGGGAATACAGGAACACTTAATTTAACATATAGTCACATTATAGCCTGTAACTTGTAACTTTTTCAGCAGATTATCAAAGACCTGTTGTTCATCCTCAAAGTCCCAATCATCTTATCTTTCTCGTTCAACAGCCAATGTACCAGTCCACAACCTGTCTGAAGGCCTTGTAAATGATGGGGTTGAAGGTGCAGACCAGCCCCCCACCACGCCACAGTTGGGCCCTCTCTCTGTTCAGATCCCCCAGGCAGGTCACCTGGTCGTCGTAGGCCTGCGAAACACACCACTTTGAGTGGTCGTAGTGAGACTGGAACGGGACTGATCCGGGGAGCCGAATCCTCTTGATGTTCATAGCGTGTTTGGGCAAGGAGCAGTTGGAGGGAAGCTCGTGACCTTGTCTCTGCCAGGACTCCACCAGCAGATCGGCATCCAGAGCCTGAGCCACCCAGCCTGTGTAGATGTCTGAATGAATGCCAGTTAGGGGGTTAGATCATTTGCATTAGGATTTTTAAAAAGCATATAGAAAAATATAGGAATAGTAACAGATAGAGTTGTATGTTATCTATGCGTTTCATAGAAAAAAAATAAAGCAAATGCAAACTTCTTGGACAAAATTAGAAATCCTTTTTAGAATTAACCTTTAAACATAAAGTGAGTCCGGGGATTAATATTCTAAATAAGCGATTATGTTTTACAGCACAAATATAACCTTCATGCTGATTTATTATTTTTTTCTTTTGAAATACAAGTACAAACAGGGGGATCTAAAAATCCTTGTGAAAAAAGAGGGGGGGGGGAAGTACTGATCCACACTAAGGCCATAAAATGTAATGAGGGTCACACGTAGGTTATAACTCTTTGTAGGGGGTCATATTGGGGCAATAATGTTGGGAGCAGAGAGTACTTTTGAAGGCCTTGGGTATGGTGTGTTCTTCTGAGATAGTGTGTCTGCACCTGATAATGAGTGACAGTGGCAGACAAGTGAAGTGTGCAAACAAGACAGTGGCAGACAGAAGTTTTGTTGTGAGATTTTTTTGTGGAGTAAAAGTGCCAAAAAACTCATAAAAAGTGCTTTTGTTGCAATACATTTATATCTGCGTTTCTTTGTACAGCAAAACAAATGACGGACAGTACACAAGGCAAATCTTACCATCCACAAAGCATTCAGATTTGACGAAACTGACAAACTTGTCCCCTTGCAGGGAGAAAAGCTGGTCCACTCTCTTATCTGAGGCTAGAGGTGGTTTGGACCCCTTGCATAACATGGCCAACTGTGGCAGGTCGGCCATGAATGCAGCAGGTACAGAGCAGTTATAGAAGCGTGGGTAAAGGTACGCCATCTGCTTTGCTGGAGAGGGAGGAGAGTGCATCACAAAGAAGAGATATGGTGTATGTTAGAAAACTAAGGGGTGCACTATATAAAGCTTCTGTAGAAAGAGAGACAATATTCCTAAAAGCCAGAAATAATATTTTTAAATTCCACCTTGAACTGAATTATTGTGCTGCTGATATACAATATCAAACCAATACCAACTTCAATACATTCTGGTTATACCCAACTATGTCTACAATCTCTGAAATATGGATGTTTTTCAATGAGAACACAGCCACATAAACCTTTTCTATTTTTATTCATTTTTTGAATTAGTCATGTATTTTCTTGTTTATTTAAATGCTTTGTATTCTAGATTTTCCTTTAGTAATTCCAAAATGTAGTGGGCTCACTTAAAGTCACCCTCAGGGGTCGATATTATTGATAAAGTAAATTTTGTCAATGAGAACTTAAATCTTTTCGTCTTGCTGTGCGTTTGATAGCATGCAAGTTGGTGGATTTCCCAACACGTGGACATGTTCCTTTAAGGAGCTGCTAGCCATTAAAATGTGGCTTTTGTTTGTAAAACATGAAGATATTGACTCATGTCACGCACACAGATACATATCACAATACAAAAGAAATGGTGACACAGTGAACATTTAACATTTAGTTGCATATTGGACGATATTTGAGTGGAAGGGGACTTAAAAACATTTTTGTACTTATTATAGGAGAGTAGACCCTCAAAACATCATTGGACAAATCCTTTGCAGGTTTGTGTACATTTAGAGTAATATCTGTATATGTATTAAAGGCACTGACATAAGTCCAGATCATTGACTGTGTAAAAGTGTGGGATGTGTTCAGAGCTGGAGTAAATCAGGCCCTGTTGCTTCATGAGCGTTCACTCACCTATACGGAGGAATTGGTCATAGTGGTAGGTCACGCAGAGAGCAGTCTGGCCATTGACTTTTCCGGAGGAGGGGTAGAGGTAGCCTCTCTCAGGGAATGACGGGAAATGGGGAATACTGTGCGAAAGCCAGAAACCTTGAGAGCGGTCAAAGAGCAGCACCCCTGCAAGATGCACACAAACAACGCTCAATGCCCGCACAATGTCTCACACATCCATGTATCATGCAAACATCAGGGCAGGCATTGATCCAGAGTCAACCGCAGTTATCAGCCGGATGCTCTTTGCCCGTTTCCTCCCCCTGACACCAAAAAAAACATATTGATCTGTTTTGCAAAATCATAGCATTGCAAAGCTTGAATAGCAATGTGGAAATACATGTCATTGATTATCATACACAGGTCCCACAGGTATTGTGTGCTATTTTGTCATCGAGTTAAAATCAAATCAAAACTTACGAAAACTAAATTTTCATTAAGCGCTGTACCTTTAGTGTGTCCGTATCCTTGAATGTATTCCAAGATCGGTGGTCCATCATTGTAGAGTGCATACACTGAACTGTTAGACTGAGGGAAATACTTTATACATACAGAATATGGAGAGGAATACATTTGGGGATGTGCTTTTTCCAGTTACTTTGTATCTCTCCTAAAGGGATAGTTTGACATTTGGAAAACATATTTTGCTTTCTTGTCGAGAGTTAGTCTCTCGGTACAATATCTGTACAGTAAATATAAGGCAACTGCTAGCAAAGTTATCAAAGTTAGGTTATTTTAGCACAGTAAATATAGAGCTACAGCCCAGTCAGCAAATGGTTAGCTTAGCTTAGCATAAAGACTGGAAACAGGGGGAAACAGCTAGTCTGTGTTTGACCAAAAGTTAAAATTCCTGTTACTCTCTGCTGGCTGTCTTCTTCTTTTTTTGTACAGGTGAAACCAACTATATAAATTAGTGATCTTTAGAGGTCCTAGTGGGTGTATTTTGCTACATTTGAACAGAGCCAGTTTAGCTATTTCCAGTCTTTATGCTAAGCTAAGCTAAGCAGCTGCTGACAGGGATATAGTTTCATATTTAGCCTCTACAGATATGAGGGGGAAATCAATCTCCTCATCTAACTCTCAGCAAGAAAGTGAAAAAACATATTTCCAAAAATGTCTAACCTTTTTCTTTGTTTCTTTTCAGTTTTTCTTGATTTTGTCTTGATTACTTTTCTGATGCTGCACAGAGACTGATCTCCAAACACTATAATGCACAATTACATGAATGTGAACTGCATGAGGAAGGACTGTGTTATTTACTTCATTTGTCTGAGGAAGTTGTTCAATGTAAAGCTTCAGTTTAGTTCCCCAAAGGAAATAAAAGAGTGTCTCCTCAGCAAGCTTATGGGCTCTGTCTCTATATTTCTATAGACAGGAATTATTGTATAAAACCCACTTGAAGAACTGGGACATTATCTTACCTTGTAGGCCTTTCCGTTGTAAAGCTGGTTCAATGTGTTCCCTACGGCTCCTTGACTGGTGTTAACCATGAATTTACTCAGCTGCCAGCTCCCTACCGAGGAGTCCAGGTACATGTAGTCCACCCCGCTGCCGACCTCGCCAATCTTATACCTGGGCAGTTTGTAGATGATAAACCTGCAGTAGAAGGAGATACTTTTTTTGTGGGTTGTAAATTTGCAAAAGAAGACATCTTGTAAAAAAAGCAAGAATAATTGAAAAGATTTCATATTGATAACAAAATCTGCTTACCCTCTAAAAGTCACGGGACATTTCAAGCACCATAACTAAACACTTTGTGGTATAACTCTGCTGCAATGTATCATATCAACTCACCAATCAACAGGCTCACCGGCTTCATTCTTACAGGAAATGTCAGTACTGCACACTGTGCAACACAAAAACATGATAATAATCTGTAAGCAGAAATTTAAGTGTGTGGCCATACTGAACGACTCCTGCAGGCAAAGTGAACAAAAAAGGGAATTTACAAACTTCTGTTGGGTTGAGTGCTTCATGATTGAGTAACTTTGAAAGTGAAAAGTACAGCTGCCTGTAAATGCAAAACAGGAAGTAATAATATCAGATCACATGACAGGGGATGTTTAAGGGAAAGCGAGAATTTACAGGAGCGATATTAAACGAAATGGTTGGAGGCTTTCACAGGTTCTTAATCTCTGTAAATGCCCTGAGTCTACTTACTGTACCTTTACTTATCCAGTGACAGTTTTGGTCTTTCCGCGCATTGTTCTTCGCATTCAAAGTGTGGCACGTGTTCACACCCGGGAGCTTCTCAGTGCAACCAGTCATCTTTTATTGGTGATGGCGCTGATCACTTTACTGGAAACCACCCTGTAAGAAATAAGTGAAATAAAACACTTTCATTGAACTTTGCATTCTATTTTTTTGCCAGAGGCATCACTTGAGGCAGACATTTAATTTAATTAAGCAAGTTACTAAAACTTAAATTAAAAGCTACCCTTGTTATCTGTAGTTCTAAATCACTTCAAAATAAGAAAACCACCAGTGAATAGTAAAACATGTCAGGCAACAGTCAAACGGTAAATTATTGACATGGAGGTCAAGAGATAACACATTAAAAACATGTTTAGGTAAGATAATATATTAAAGGTTTTATAGATGAATGTATTAGAATAAAATCCAGTCATACTACAACATGACTTGTTCTTATGAGGGATCAAAAGAAAAAGTAAAAAAAAAAATCATGACACACTGTCGCTTCCCCCATACAAACAAGCCCGTTGACTTTATGGCTGCATGTCCAGAACACGTATAATTAAATAATCTATAACTACCAGTATTATCTATTTTTTTTAAATCTGTTACCACTTCTAGCATTAACCAGCACACACTGAGTTCATACCAAAACATGTAATGTCATTTTTGAGATTCATTCATTCCTCTTTTCATACTAAATTTAAGCTGTGGTCACAAGTAAATATTGTATATAGAGAGTGAATAAAATGTAAAAAAAAAAAAAAAGTGAACAAAAATAAGATAAAAGGGGCCAGAAGAATAAAACACAACAAAAATATCTGTATTTATCTTCAATCCTGCATGTGCTTGTAATAAAGAAAGAATGCGTGTGTTAGCATGTCATTTACATGAGTAATCATACATACAGGTATAACAGGTAACAGGGTTAACCTTCATCAAACAAGATCTCCAATAGCACCACCCTCTCTACAAAATCCTCCTCCATTGAGAGACACCGTATGCATGAGCAACTGAGGACAGACAGACAGAAGGTAAAGGAAAGGAAGATACCATGGCAGCGGCTTCAGATCAGGTAACTATTCATTATGTAATACATAACAAATAGTTTTCTTCAATTTCCTTAAATACTTCGGCAATGGAGTTTCTCATTTTTGGGGGTCAACGACCACAGGGCCAACCAAACAAACCAGTGTTGTCTCATAAAAATAAATAACCATGTCTAAATCATTAATTATTGTCAAAAAGTCAAATGTTTCTGTCAATGCAGAACGATTGATTTGATGATTTCCAATTTCATATTCTTCACAGATAATGTAAATTTGCATATTTCCTGTTTTTTCCTGCTCGTTCATGCAAATGAAATGTCTTCATCGATGGTACATCTACAGATTTTTTGAAATATATTTTACAAACTTATCTTATGAGATTAACGTTAGTACTCGTAGAAAAATCAGCAAACTGTTAAAAGTTAAACACATCAGATTTATCTGTTAAAGGCAACAGATAGATGATTGAAAGTGCAGAACAAATATCCAAGGTCTCATGCACACAGGAGACAGACTGCAAGCTGACCAAAGACCAAACTTTAAAGCAAAGGAGAAAACGAGAATGCCATAGATCAAATTAAGTCAAAGCAAAGTTTAAAATACCAGCAAAAAAAAACACACTTATGGCACAAAACACCCGTTTAGTGCAACATGTCAGTAATGCGTTCCTTTGTGTGCGCAGAAGGTGGAGTTTGTGCGAACAGGCTACGGCAAGAACGCAGTGAAGGTGCTGGTCATCAGGAGAGAGGGCAGCCACCACTACATCATCGAGCTGAAAGCTGACGTGGAGCTCACACTCAAATCACGCAAGGATTATTTAACTGGAGACAACTCAGACATCATCCCCACCGACACCATCAAGAACACCGTCCATGCCCTGGCCAAGATCAAGGGGGTAGCCAGCCTCTCTACACTACACCTGTCTACTTTCTACTGATCACAACACTTTTATCAATCCACTGACAATCCATTGTTTCACAGGGCCTGAGATTGGCATATTGTCTTTTTTATATTCGGGTGAAGAAAGTTCATTGTCATTCAGCTTTTAACAACTAGATGCAGCTACATAGAGGTCTATGGAGAAAGTAGATTAAACAGCATTCATGTAGAACATACATAACTTGTACATTCCCTTATTGCGCCTTTTAAAGGTTCATTTCTATATACTAAATTAATTTCATGAACATTTTGAATTTCAATTTGTTACCCTTGGTTAAACTGAGAGACTCCTACTGTGGTCATTCCTTGACCTCACTATGGTGACACTAATGGACCCCTGGCAACCTGCAGCACAAACACACACTGATCAAATAAAATCAAGGGTTAAGAAACCCTGTTGACATTCGTTTGTCTGGGTCAGACTTTTGTTTGAGTCGGCACTTCCTTTGTGTTCCCATTAATTTATGAGCATTTGTTTTTAGATAGTTTTACTTACAGTCTGTCCCTCTGCTCTTTACGCTATATTCATGTGTTCAGGTAAAGACCATCGAGCAGTTTTCCCTGGATATCTGTCTTCATTTCCTGACCTCTTTCAACCATGTGCTGAGGGTCAACGTTCACATAGAGGAGGCCCCATGGAGACGCTTGGAGAAGGTAAAACACAGGGTTCAGTCATCAGTCCTTAATACAAGAATCTGCAGATATTTTTCTAGTAAAAATGTGAAAAGCACAATTGGAACAAACTATACACACACATGCTTTTCCTGACACGTCAAAACACCTGCCACGTGTTACCTTCATTCAAGCTGTTTACATTCAAGCATGATTTTCACCCTTTTTGTTTGTCATTGTCATTTGTTTTCTCAGAATGGGGTGGAGCACATTCATGCGTTCATCTACAGCCCAGAAGCTTGTCGCTTCTGTGATACTGAACAGAATCTCAATGGTTAGCACAAACACGCACAAACGTCAGTGGTAGTTAAAAATGTATTTGCTTGTATGTTATTTTTTTTTGAGGTGTTGAAAACTCCCAACTTCTAATAGCTCATGTGCTTCTGTAGAAAACATGATTGTACTTTCAGCAGGTGCTGAGACATATTTTGAGAAAGGCACATACCTGATCTGGTCTGAGATCTGTTAGAGTTATCCTGTGTTGGACAGGTTAGGAGAAACTTATTCAATCCCCAAAGGAGGAAAAGTGGTTTGACACCATTTACAAAGACATTTACAATACATCGACACAATAGTTGATGCCAGGCAGGATTACTGAAGGGAAGTACATTGTAACAATAGAAGGGCTTTACTAGCTCAGTGGTACATGTAAAAATGATGTGCGGTAATTGGATAACATGGTTTCATCTGTGTCCGGTTTTAACTCATAAGGCTTATTGATTAAATCCTCTGTGGTGTAAATACTAGTTACTAAGGGATCTAAAACTAAAGCTTAGCCCTTAGCATTGCTGTATATCATTGAAGCTGCTGAAGAAAGGCTACATTTTGTATATTAGAGTCCAGGATGACGGCCATTGTGGCATGCGTCTACGGTATTCTGCGCTACTGTGAAAATGTTTCTGAAGTCTGTTTACTCTGTGCTCCAGGCATCCCCGTGGTTCACAGTGGGGTGAAAAACATGATGGTTCTGAAAACCACCCAGTCCGGTTTTGAGGGTTTCCACCGAGACCGCTTCACTACTCTGCAAGAGGCCAAGGACAGGTGTTTCTGCACCTCTGTGTATGCTAGGTGGCTTTATAACAAGTCTCAGGATGTCGACTTTGATGCTGCGTGGTAATTAAATCCTAAAATAACTTTCACTCTCTAAACATAGGTGTAGTTATGCATGATGGAGCACTGTAACTTTATCTGCCTAATAGGAGGAAAAATGTTATTTCTGAACACAAATCAAGAAATAGCAGGAATTTCTCACCTGTTTCAATTGAAAAATCCTAAAAGTGAAATGACATGCCTTCTTCATCTAACGATCATCGCATCACCGTCCTCACAGGAAGTGTGTGAAGGACACGATTATTGAGAAGTTTGCTGGCCCGTACGATAGTGGAGAGTTCTCCCCCTCTGTGCAGAAGACCCTTTATGAAACACAGGTTCTGGTCCTGGATAGAGTTCCTGAGGTAAGTCCACACTTATCAAACCTCCAGGTAAAATCTATCGCAGTCGCGGCAAGAAAATAAAGCTCAAATGTAACAGTACATGTTATAGACCAACTTGTCAGCCACATGTCTTTAAGTATTCTGTCTTTTAGGTTGATGAAATCGAGATGGTTATGCCCAACCAGCATTACATCACCATAGACATGACAAAAATGGGCCTCACCAACAAAGATGAAGTAAGTTCTGTTATTACAGCTAATAATCTTTCATGTTTAGTCAACATTGTTTGATTATTGACATGTAATATTCCCCTGACAGGTTCTTCTTGCCTTGGATAACCCTTCAGGCAACATCACAGGCACAGTGCGCAGGAAACAGCGAGCCAAGCTGTGAAGGCACCTCCACATCTAGGAAATGCTGCTCATGTGGCCTACATATCAAGCTGAATAAACCAATAAATATGAGTCAATCTAATATCATGTGAATGAAGTTCTGAGAACAAAAATGACCTTTAAAATATTTGTTTTGGTCATAAATACAACTACAACTCAAGATTTCCTAAATATGATAAGCTCTTGATGCAAGTCAATAAATGAAATAAACTAATATTGTTCTTTTGTGAGAAAAGAGCACCATTTATTGCAAATCTTTGATTCAGATATTCAAACTCCAGTGTTATGTTACACATATACATCGGTCATACACACTTCAATGGTTGTCTTTGCAACAATTCTGAAAGCACCACAGGTAGGAACATAGGAATATATACACTAGGCCTCGCGCCTAGATAATGTAGGTGTGCAGGAACAAAGAGGCTTTCGTTTGGCTCCTTGTTTCTGGGAAAACAAAATGCTTCAGTCTTACATGCTAAGGACGTTTCATGGACTCAGCTGCACGGTTTAGAGCATAAAAACTGATTTCAGGGAAAAAGCGGGATGCACCAGAATCATTTCCTGATTGTATCAAAGTGTTCAGGTACAACAACATATACAGTTTTCAACTAAATATCATCTTATAAACAAATACTTTTTGTTTTTTTTAAACCAACATGGGTTAATTCACTTTGCACACACGCGCAAACACATGTACGTACATATACACACACACACACACACACACACACACACACACACACACACACACA